GGGATCACGGTTAGTACTGTTGTGAGAAGGGACACTCACTAATTTTGACTTGATCCAGAGAAGTACATGGCAGACGCAAATAACTGAAACTCATGAAGAACCTCGAATCTGGCAGGTTTAAACCATTGGTTTAAACTTGGCTGTAGACGAGTGCTCTGTTCAATAAGGACGAATACTCAGCATTCACATTTGAATCTACCTCCACCAGTTTAGTGCAGGGTTTTGGTTGCTCAGGGGAGGTTAAGAGAAGTAATTTCGAAATCATCTCGAACCTTCCTAGGGGCAGATATTCCAAGTTCTTGAACGGCTTCTACAGGCTTCGAATTGCAGCACACTAGAGGCATCATTCAAGTACTTCGAATTATTACAATTATAGTCGGTTACCCTCTTTAAAAAAGGATTCCTCTTTAAAAAAGGACGGACCTATGCCCAACAGGTGGCTAGGACGCACACGCACAACCAACACGGCACAAGTTACCAGCTGGGCTATAGATTAGATCTACTACTATCTAACTTGCTAGACGTTTTGCCTATTACGTGTCACTTTCCCGATGACTTGAATAGCTTCCTCACCGACTTATGGCTCAACCAAACATGATGCTGAAGCGACCTTCGCTCAAATAGTCGTCTGCAGAAATCCAGTGTAGTGCGAAACCGTTCTAATCTAACCCGCTCCTCATTGCCAGAGGTTTGAGGATTCTAGTAGCTCTTGTTTCAATTGAAAAAGGTTTAGAATGAGCCGAGATATATGCATTTGAAGTTTAGAGTCGAAAAACGCCAGAACGTTCTTCACGACTTGATAATATGTAGTTTCATGATAAGGGGGCGGCTTCAGTGTTCCGAGAAGGCGCTTCATATAGGTGTCCTGCAGCAGCGCAGAAGTCGACAGAAGAAAAATTCTGTGCCACACTAAAATAAAATATATAAATAAGAGCGTGAAAAAATTGGCGAAGTTTCTCGAGTGGGCACAGTTACAGCATTTGCGCCCACTGTTGCGAGTCGGTGGCTTCTGATTTGAGACACGCTCCAGTGAAGATACCGTGCAACCACGACCTGGTCTCGAACACCAATGGGACACCAGCTGGACGACGACCACCGAAAATAATGGCATCGATTGGAACTCCTTTGGGGCTTTCCCAATCTGGATGGATAATCGGGCATTGGGAGGCTGGGGCAGCGAATCGTGAGTTGGGATGTGCACAGACTCCTGGATCACCGATCTTCCATTTCTCACCGAGCCAGTTGATCATTTCCACATTCTTGTCCTTGATTTCATCCTCCATTCCTTCCCAGAAGTACTCGCCGTCAGCTGTCTCACCAACATTTGTGAAGATTGAGTTCTTCTGGAACGTAGCCACTGCCATCGGGTTTGTTTTCTTGGATGTACCTGGTGCAACTCCGAAAAAGCCCGACTCAGGGTTGATC